CTGCTTCTCATGTGCTGCTGGGGACGGGAGAGCCCGGCCGGTGCAGACCCAGCCGGCCTCCTCCTGCCCCCAGCAGCACATAGGAAGCCGGCTTCAGCTGCATGCTGCTTTTCCTGGCCGGTGCCGACCCGGATCTGCCCAGGCGGGTCCTGCAGCACCATGTCAACCCGGGCATGGCCCCGGCAGGCTGGGCGGGCCCCAGATCAACCCCGGCTTGGCCCCACGGCTTCTCTAGCACCAAGTCAACCCAGCTGTAGCCAAGCAGCTCCTGTAGTACCATGTTAACCTGGGTATGCATGCCCTATCAACCAGCACCATGTCAATGCTGGCAACTTCATTGGTGTCAAAGGTCATGTGACGTCACTTCCTGATATGATACCACTTCCTGTAAGGTCTTTGAATATGGCTCACCAGCCCACTGGGTGATAAAAAGTTCATGATCCGGTCCCACATTCGAAAAGGTTGGACACCCCCGCTCTGGACAACCAAGCTACTACTACAAGTAGCCAAGCAGTGATGGAAGGGTCTAACAGAGGCTTCCAGTGTTGACTGTTGGGCTGTAATTAGAGTCTTAGTCCCTGCAAGTCAGGGCTAGTTTTCAGCTACTGTTTCCCTTCTTACCAAAAACTCTTAGGGCCTTACTGATGGCCCCTTTAACCTGACTCTTGAAAGCAGGAAAAGAACTTTAAGGCACCCACAGCCCTTCTTCACTCAGGATGCTGTGAAAGCACGTGCTACTTAGGCACAATCCCCAGGCTACACTTGCTATATCACCCAGTTAAGTGAAACAGGCGAGAAACACCCCTAGAAGAGCTGTGGTACTAACAGGAGCCGAGGGGCTTAAATGCTGGGTTATTGCAGGATTCCACCCTGGTGACCCAGCTCTACAATAGCAAAGGTGAATCCAGAGCCCAGGTAACTAAGAGATGGGAAATCTTACCCCAAATGAGCAAAGTAGCTATAGCATAGGACAGGACCCAGACTGCTCAGCAGCAAGAATGCAAGCTATAGCCTTCTAGCAGCTCACACCTATGGGACCAGCAGCTGGGGTCTCCTCTCCTTCCCAGGTAGGGTGTTAAGGCCTCTGCCATGGGTCAAACCACACAGCCAGGTGGCCTGCTTTCTTACTGGTTCATTCCCACTTTGGATTCAGACATCCAAGGTGCAGGCGTCAGAGCAACAGCTTGTTATGCACATGTACTACAGCACTGCAGGGAATGGGCACAGAGCACTTGGTTGCAGCTCTGGGAGTAGTCACAGGAAGCACATAGACAGGTTCTATCAATCTGACCCAGAGCAAGGATTCTCTCTGCAAAGGGAAAACTGAAAGGAGAGGGTTAAATAGACTTCCTCCTCTCCGCAGCCTTATGCTAGGACCCCAGGGATCACACCCCACAGGAATAGCAAGCACATTTGAAACAACCTGGGAAATCAAAACACAGGGGACCCAATCATATCAGAACCTAAAGGCAAGTTTGTGTTCCCTCTGTGAGATACCACAGCCTACGCACTGTTGGGTTCATATGGGTGCTGAGCTCCACTGAACAAGCTCCCTCCTCTGACCCTGTCAAGCTGAGTGAAGGGCCCCATGATATCACCATTAGAGCCACTACAGACTCATGCATGGTCCAAACCAAACTGGCCAGTCTCTTTCTTTGCAAAAGGACAGTTATGAGATTCACACAGGCCTGGTGGTCCGTAAACTTTAATGACTGAACCAGAGCAGGCTTTGCTGGTCAGTGCATTGGAGAAATGCTCATCAAACCACATCCAACCAAAGTTCATGTAAGTCCAGATACAATCCCATCATTTATAAAACAGGCTAGGAGCTGTGCTCTCAGAACAATACCCCTCTGCAGAGGTGCACCATAAGCTCCCCCCTCCAGAAGCCCACAGGTCTTGTACCAATCAGAGGTGTGAAGCAGGAGCCCCCCCTCCCTGGCCCCAGCCCCTCCTTGCAAGCATGGGATTGGCACAAAGGGAAATTGGCAATTCAGCTTGAGAGAGGAGGTAGCTGCCCAGTAGTAGAGTCTAGCCTGCATGTACAGAGAGGAGATCACCCTGCAGCAGCCAGGATGCACACTGCTGGGGTTGCCTGAGCTGGCAGGAGTGCAGAGCAGAGAGATGCCACCCTACAGGGCAGCACCTATGTAGTTCTGCAAGCTGACAGGTTAAATTTCTACAGCTCAGTCAGGCCAAAAGTGCAGGAGAAAAGCAGCACAAGGCTACAGGGCCAGCACAAGTTTCCTTCCTAGCCTCAGAAAGAGGCTGTGCTCCCAGCTGAGAAGAAAGCAGCAGCATTAGGCCCACCTCAAAGGCACCTGAACCCCACTCAGCACAGAGACCACTGTTGAGCTCCAGTACAAATAAAGGCACCAAGTAAAGCCCTCCCCACCAAGCTGGCTGCTCAGGACCCTGCTCCAGCAAGGGCAGAGCATAGAGCTGCCTGCCTTGGCTTCAGTTGTAGCCATAGACTGGGAGGCTGGCAGGGACAGAAAGACAGATTTTCAAAGGGATACATTCCCAGCAACAGACACAGACCGACAATTCCAGTACCCAGACTGAGACACCAAAATACAGCTGGACCGTAGGTACTGAGCAGAGATAGAGGCCAGACCATGGAAGGGGAAGGGAACGGCTGTGGTCACTGCTATACCTGCTCTGTGACAACTCATTCTCCAGGACTGCCAAGCTACCCCTCCCCCAGAACTGCACAAGCTCCCAGCTGATTCTGAATTGGGCCTGGGCATTTGCTAAGAATTCCTGCCATTCTGGAAGATGCCCATCCTTTCCCAAATAACAGGGCTTTTCTCTGGCCTCCACAGCCGCTCCCATGTGACACTAAAACTGAGAACTCTGCTAACAAGTTCTATTGAGCATTTTTGTTATACAGACACAGAGTTATAGACAAATAGAGAGTGACAGCAGAAAAGTCAGAACTCAGCTACTTAGAGAACAGTGTGGTACTAGCAAGATTCTTGCCCTGGCAGGGTCCCAGGTATCAAGGAGTCTTAATAAAGACTAACACCTGAATCTTCCAAAGTGCACATGCTAGGTGTAGATGGCAAGTGTATGCACATATAAGGCTGAAACCCCAGATCTACACCCAACCAGGAGCTGGTCACTGATGGGACCTCCTTGTGATACACTGGCAGAAGTCACTACCAGTGACAGAAGAGAAAAAGAGACAGTTCTTTGGTGCTCTGTCACAAGAGCAGGATGTAGGATAGGAGGGGTCTGGGCAAGGCAGCCACCACACACTGCAGCAACACAAGGCTCCAGGTTCTGCTTCAGAGTAAAAACTGAGCAGACTGCAAAGGATGCTACACCCCTTCAAAGGCACTTTGAGTCTGTCATGCATGGGAGCCATCAAGGTCCAGAGCATTGTAAAGGCAACAGCACAGCCCAGGGGCAGAGAAGGCAGCACACAACACTTAAGTGCATGCCTTCTAAATGACCCTGGGAATAGTGCTGTCAGTGGTCTCCTGAGAGAGGGCCTGGGGATGGGAGCATAGGCAAAGAGAGAAGGTGGAGGGAGGGGGGCATTTAGAACATCCATCAATCTGCTGTTCCTGTCCCACTACTTTAGTCTTCCCTAGGAAGATCTCTTACCTGTCCCCTAAAAGGGAATCTACAAAGTGAAGGGATGAGGAGGAAATCAACGGGGAGTTGAAGACTTAACATATCATGGCCTCAAGTCTTATGTCTGCAAAATACAGAGCAATGAGCAGTTTCCCTCCTCTTGCTTCTAGCATTGATCTCTGCATGGGAATAATCCAATTACTGGCTGTACATGCACTAGCTATGGACAAGCTTCCTTTGTCATGACAATTAGTGTTTGGTTGCAGGCAAAACATCCCCCATGCTGTCTTCCCCACCCCTCAGAGAAAGTGGTTCTGAGTAGGATCCATCCTCTAGGTAGACGGACCGAAGTAAAGTATGTGTTTGCTGTATAAAAAAAAAAGAAAAAAAAAAAAAAAGAGATACAAGACGACATGTAGTTACATCCCCTCAAAACAGCCCATACTTGCTCAGATGTTGCCTCAATAACCAGCTGTATCTTGCAAGACAGGGAGGTAGAGCTTATGTGGCTCCATAGTACAAGTGAACAGCCAGCCCAATTAACAGGACAGCGAAGAAGAAAAAGGTGGTGAGCTGCAGGTTGAAGAGTACAACAGACAGCAGGGCATTCACCAGTATGGAGCAGGAGATCACAAAAAGCCTGGTAATATTACTGCTGTGCTTCATGACTACAGACATGATCAAGCCATTCAGAGCCTGGCTGACAATGATTACCAGCACCCAGGATGAGAATCCCTCCAGGAATCCAGTCCCCCTGCTGCTCAAGAGATGGACAACCACATTTAGCAGGACTCCAAAGGAATAAAGAAACAAGTTCTGGAGGTTCAGAGGGAGGTCTTGGGTTTTCAGGATGACTTCAGTATAAACAGCAGACAAGCCAGATATCAGGCAGTACATGGAGATCAGCAGCAAGCCAAGGAGAGTGATGTGCAGCTGCATTCTGGAGGTGCTGGTGGGGTGCTGCAAATCCTGGAGACCTCCGTAGGTGTAGCTCACCCCTGCAGCTGTTAGCAGGAAGAGGGCCAGCCACTTGCGCAGAGAGAGCCTTTGGTGCAGGAACAAGCTATAAAGGAGAGCAGTGCTGCCAATCTTCAAGTTACTTAGGACCTGGTAGGTGCTAGGATCCATAAAGAGCTGCATGTGAACCACAAGGTTGTTGTTAGCAGCATATAATAGTGCAGAGAGGGCAAAGGGGGTGGCGTGATTCCATGAAACAGATCGTCGCAGTAGTTTTCGGTCCCAAATCAGCAAAAAGAGTAAGGAGAGTACCAGCTTGGTCAGCTCAATAAGGACCACAACAGATGAGGAGCTGAATAGGATCTTCCCATCTACTTTGCACAGAGTCAGTAGGGGAGCATGAGCACCATAGATAGCTACAGACAGGATCAGCATCAGACCCCACAGCACTCTCCTGAGCCTCCCAGTGGTGGTGTGGAGGAGAGAGCCAGCTGCACTAACATTAGTAATAACCATCCTCATGAAAGACTGCAGCGAAGAGCAAAGGATAGCACCCAACCCTTTTCCAGGTCAGGGCCTCAATAGAGGCCAGATCAATCTAAGGTGCAAACTTACTTAAAAAAAAAAACAAACCCCAAACCATCTACCAGGAGGGAGATGCAATGAATGCCACATATTAATAGATGTATAATTAGGAAGACAGTGAACTATTCATAACAGCAAGGAATATGGAGAGGAACATGTTTGCACTTTGTTAAGGAAGGAAACACAAATGTCACACAAAGTAGGTTTCCTGGAACCAAAATGTGGAAGAGTATGCATATGGCAAGTGACATGATCTGACACACGCCCTTTCACTACACCAGGGGAAAAGCAGGTTGATAAATTATTATGAGAAAGGCAGCTGTCAACATTCAGATTTTGACACATGAAAGTCCTGAACAGCATAAAATAGTGATTGGCATTTGCATGTTATTCTGATTACAACATGTTATTAAATCAGACCTGCTGATTTCACACTGATCTGGTATTGAATTTGTTTTCCACTGGAGATAAATGATGTATCCTGTTATCCTGGGAGGCCTGTTACAGTCTTTTATTGTCAATTGTCTAGCATGTCTAAAATGAGAAGAGCTGTTTCTGGAGTGCACCTCTGCCCAAAGGCTTCCCCTTTAATCTGGTCCTTTTTTCATCGAGCTGATATAGTCTCGGATTGTCTTTTCAACATTGGGAATGGCATAGTTTTGAGCTGAGTATATTCCAGTGCAAGTCCCAACCACAAATCCAAGGACAGCAGAAGAGCGGAGTTTGGCTACAACGTAACCTGCCAGGAAGCCTTTGAGAAATGGAGATGCCAGCAAAGATCCATTCTGCAGAGAAAGAGATAAGAAAGGAATAAAACAACCTTTTGGACAAAACCATTATGTACCATAGAAGAGTTGAAATGTGTTCTTTTTTCCCCACCAGTTTCCCCCAAATGTAGGGATGGTGTAATGTTATTAACATAGAAAAAATAACATTTCTGCCAAAAAAGACACATTAAAGCTAGGAGCTACTCTGAAAGAACGGGGATACATTCTCTCTTGGGAAATGATACAACAGCCTATTCACTATCATTTGGAAGGTAAAAGGCTAAAGCATTAAGGAACTCTGACTTTACCTGTCCCACTCCAGCATGCACTTCATCTTCAACTCTTCGCTGTAAGCTTTCCAACTGATTCTTCAAAAAAGCTAGATCCTTCAGCTTTGGTAGCGAGTCCTATGTAGTGGAAACAAAGACTCGACATTGTTTAGCAATAAAAATCCAATCCTGCCAAGCCTAAATATACATCGATAAAGGTTGACTTCACCTCACAGCACCACAAAAAAAAAAATATTTCCATTGGTAATAATAAAAATGTATAGAAAGGGGATGCAAGAAAAAAAAGAAAATCTGGAATGGGGGCAAAGAAATCTGGGATGGGGGCAGCACCCACATGCACGTGCACACACGCACAGATACATGCAGCCACTGCAGGAGCTGAGGCCCATACCAGCAGGGCTTGCTGGAGAGGATGGGAAGGGGGTTGGTTGGCTGCTGAGGAGTCTCAAGTCCTGTGTGGAGGGGCAGGGCTGTTGGCAGCCAGAAGCCCAGTGCCTCTGGCCACTCACTCTGCTTAGGTCCCAGCCCCGGATCAAGTGCCAAACTCCCACAAAGCCCAGCCCCTGCGTGCTTGGGGTAGGGGTTCCCCCAGGGCCCAGCTGCTGCCTCTGCACTGCCCAGTGGGGCAGGAGGCAAAGACTGTCAAGGGGCCAGGCCGCCCCTCGGCTAGTGCCCACTAGGCAAGTCTTGCCCCCTCAGGGATTGCAAGGAGCTGCTTCCTACCTAGGCTGGGCAGCCACCGCCTGTTGACACAGCACAGCTCAGGGAATTCAGCAGCATTCGACAGCCAGGAGTCCCCTGACAAGCCTTGTGCCACAGGCAGCTACAGCCAGCAGCCCCTAGCCCAGCCCCTGCTCCCACACTTGACTCTGGAGCCTCCACTCTCATTGCCTGGTATCAACGTACTACCAAATGGACAGCATGATTTAGAGCAGATATACTTTATTGATTCATGGATATTTACTTTTTATATTTTGTCGTATGATTTTAGAAAGCTTTTAACAGTGTACCATCATTACTAAGTTGTCTGCCCCCCACACCCTTAATTTTGTACAATTTAAAATGGAAAATTTAAATTGATAAAATTGAAATAGATGTTTAAAATAAACATCAATTTTAGCCCTCAAAATTGTTAAAAAACAGGAACTGAATTCTGCCAAGACTATGTATATAGCATACAAATATGCAATTCTGCAATTTAATTACAGGGAGTAAGACTCCTTTAGCTCAGAAAATGACTCTTTAGTCAAGAAATTAAGCCCCAAACCAGGAGGAGTAGGAAACAATAAGCAATTAGTGATATTACCCAATAAGGCAGATGTATCCAGTTCAAGCCACAGTTTAGTTACAGATAATTTTTACTCTAACAGGGGTGAAAAAAAGTAAGGTTTCCCAGGTAGGTACGCATAGGAATCATGTGTTTAACATATCCACTGTTAATGAACTCAGCTTCGGTCATTCAAATTCTAAGGAAGCTTAGAAGGGGCCCAAGTTGAAGGGGCGTCCGAGTGCAATTTTGAGATGGACTGAAACAATGCGACCTGCCACTTATGGGCATGTGGGCACACAAGCCCAATAACTGGCACAGAAGTAAGGCTACACAAGGAAGTCACAGGCTGAAAACAGCATTATAAAATCTAAGGCTCAGAAGCTGATGGCTGCTTCAGAGCACTGAGGAAACCCAGGTCAGCTGCTACAGCTACAAGAAATAGGGGGTGAGGAAAGATACAACCCCACAGGAAGCTTGGCCCAGCTCCGCGGCAACCCAGAGGGGAGGCCAGTCAGACTTGCGATGCCGAAGAACAGCACTTCCACCTGCAAATGACAGGTCACAACAAAGGGTCGGCGCCAGGAGCACGTCCGGCACAACCCCGTTTTCAGAAGAAACTACTCTGCAGGCCCAGACCACTGTCGCAGGCGACAGGGAGCGCTCGAGGGGCCTGGGGAGCGCCAGGCCCGGCCCGAAGGGCGAGCGGGGCCAGCCCCCAAGGAACGAGAAGCCTCCAGCGGCAGGGGAGATCCGCCGCTTCCTCGGGCACGCAGCGACAGCTCGGCGGGGGCGGGTCAGCCCGGCCGCAGCCCCGAGCGCCCGAGACGGGAGCGGGCCTGGGGGCCGGGCCAGGCGGACCTCGCAGCGGCTCAGCCTGCCCCGCTGCCTGGACTCGTCCGACGTCAGACGCCCGATACGACGCGGCGCGGCCCCGGCCCCAGCCCCAGCCCACAGGCGCCAAGAGAAACTACCCGCTCCTTACCTTATCATCCGCCATCTTCCTGCCACGGCCACCCCTTCCCCCAGCGCGGCAGCGCGGACGCGCATTGCCCCGCCAGGATCACGTGACTGCCGCAGCCACGCGGCTGCCGAGGCAAGGAGCGGAAGTGACGCGCTCGCAGTGCGGAGCTTGGTGTGGCGTGTGTCAGTCGCCCGCGTGATCTTTTTTGCCCGCAGCGCTGCTTAGGGCAGGGCCTCGGGCTGGGCGCTGTGCACATGGCTGCCCGCACAGGTCTCCGTGTCCTTCAGCCGCCCGAGCTCGCTATCGCCCTGCTTCTGACGTTTGACCCAGTCTAGGGTCCCCCCAAAGCAGGGGTCGCAGCCTAGACCAGGCCTACAGACAGGGGCTCCTCCCAGGGTCAGAAGTGTGGCGGCAGCAGGAGTGGTGGCAGTTGTCACATTTCCAAGCCCCTGTGGCTGCATCAGCCCCAGCCAGGGATGGGCCCCTTTCCCCCTCCTCCCATGACCCAGGGATAAGGTAAGTGGAGTCCCAGCTGTGCCACTTGCACACAGCTGAGTTCAGGGCAGGCCATTTCAGAAAGGGAAGCAGGAGGATCCAGGGAACTACAAACCAGTCAGCCTCACCTCAATCTTTAGAAAAAATCATGGAGCAGGTCCTCAAGAAATCCATTTCCAAGCACTTGGAGGAGAAGAAAGTGATCAGGAACTGTCAGCGTGGATTCACCAAGGGCAAATCCATGCCTGACCAACCTGGTTGCCTTCTATGAAGAGATGACTGGCTCTGTGGACACGGAGAAAGCTATACGTTGACTTTAGTAAGGCTTTTGGTACAGTCTCTCAACATTCTTCCACACAAGTTAAAGACATACGGGTTGGATGAATGGACTGCAAGGTGGATAGAAAGTCGCCTGGATTGTGAGGCTCAACAGGGTAGTGATCAGTGGTTTGATGTCTAGTTGGTAGCTGGTATGAAGAAGAGTGCCCCAAGGGCCAGTCCTGGGGCTAGTTTTGTTCAGTATCTTTATTGACAAGCTGGAAGATTGGATGCAGGGCACTCTCAGCAAGTTTACAGGTGATACCAAGTTGGGGGGATACACTGGAAGTTAAGACCAGTGGAAGTTAGATACACTGGAAGTTAAGACCAGGATTCAGAGTGACCTAGACAAATCGGAGGGTTGAGCCAAAAGAAATCTCATGAGGTTCAACAAGGACAAATGCAAAGTCCTGCACTTAAAATAAAACAATTCCATGCACCTGTACAAGCTTGGGACCAACTGGCTAAGCAGAATCTCTGCAGAAAAGGACCTGGGGGTTACAGTGGACAAGAAGCTGAATGAGCCAACACTGCCCTTGTTGCCAAGAAGGCTAACAGCATACTGGGTTGCATTGGTAGGAGCATTGCCAGCAGATAGAGGGAAGTAATTAGTCCCCTCTATTTAGCACTGGTGAGGCCACACCTGGAGTACTGTGTCCAGTTTCGGGCCCCCCACTACATTAAGGGTATGGACAAATTGAAGAGAGTCCAGCAGAGGGCAGTGAAAATGGTTAGGGGGCTGGGACACAGCTTCTGAGGCAAGGCTGAGGGACCTGGACTTACTTAATCTACAGAAGAAAAGACTGAGGAGGGATTCGATAGCATCCTTTAGCTACCTGAAGGGTAGTTCCAAAGAGGATGGAGCTAGACTGTTCTCAGTGGTGCATATGATGGAACAAGGAACAATGGTCTCAAATTGTAGCAAGGGAGGTTTAAGTTGGTAACCTTCACTGCAGTCTCCCTTCCATAGTTACTAGCACCTCCAGTGGTTGAATCAGGAAATTTGGCACCTGGTATCTGTGGATTCTGTTTACAAGTTACCCTCTGATCTTGCACTGTGCCTTACAACTTCACTT